CTACACTTGTAATTTGATCAGCTGTTTAATCACATGTTTAGATACAACTCCTTTTCTATTCATCCAAATTTTAATAGACAGCGTTCATTTCAAAATGTGGTAAAGCAATGCCAGAGGCATGGGTAACTGTATAGGAAATGTACATATTTAATGTCTATACTTCTAGAAATTAATACCAAATTCATATCATAGAGTGTGAAGTGATGAAGAGAATCATCAAGTGTGAACTAGACTAGAAGTATGATCAGCTGTTTAATCGATGAGATATTTAGATAGAACATGATGCAATAATAAGGTGATCTATCACAACAACAACGTTTCTTTTTGTCTCGATCATCAGTCAAAATTTTCCTTATAATATTCCACATGGTTGGCAACGTTGCTCATCTCATTCAAGTAGAAATTACGCACTTTGGCAGTTAATCAAGACATCAGCTGTGCTAAATGAACTACCTATTCATTGTGCCATGAGATAGAACTTCTTTTTATCCATCCAAATTGTATCAAAGAGTGTGAACTGATGGGGAGAATCGTAAAGTGTGAACTAGATTAGTACTATGATCAGCTGATGAATCGATCAGCTGTTTAGAAAAATATTCTTTTATTCATAACACGTAGAGACCAAAAGTAGATTTGTCGTAATTTTGAATAGGCAGCTTCGCCTAAGGATCTTTATCAGAAATGTACATATTTAGTCATTAACTTCTGAGAATTTGTGACCTTAGCAGCCCTAAACTTCGCAAACTCACTCACGTATGAGCAGATTTCCTAGCTATTCCCTTTTTTGTGCTTTGGTATTTATGCTCTAAAATGTTTTTGAATTTGATTAGTTACATCAAAAAGAAGTAGCGACTTTGGCGGAAAATCCTTTCAACCAAACCGACTTCTTTGAGCTTCCTGCCGAACCTTTCTAAAACCCAAGTTCCCATCCTGCTCGCTGAGAAAAATCTCCACTGTAAAGCCCAGCATGCTTTTAGGCGGCCGCCTTTGTCAAATGCCCTTTCATGCATGCTATTTAATGCATATGGCTTATTAGAGTTGCCACTTGGTGGGCTCTTAGTTAAAATAGGGAGGAGAAAAAATGGAAAACGAAGAAGACGGGAAATCCAACTCTCCTATACCTGGCCAAGGAAGTCAGTCAGTCATTCCGGTCTGTCTATGTAAATAAAGAAGACAAAAAATTATATATTCATAAGCTTTATAAGCTTATTTTGTTTTCTTTTTTGCCTTGGCGGCGGCATTGTTTCTGTAGCAAATCATGGCATGAAGAACAATAAAAATGGCAACAGTCTATATTTGAGAGAAAGAGCGAGAGGGAAAAGAGAAAAGACAAAAGTCTTAGGAAATCTATGGATGAATGCCCAACACATCTGAAAGGAACCATCTAGGAAAAAAAAGGTCTTCGCATGGAAGCTTTTCTCCCACCAACATGTGTGGTCTTTAGGTTATTTTTTTTCTTTACTCCCCCTACTCAGGTTTCTCCTCCTCCTCCTCCTAGGGTTTTCTACAAGACAAAATGTTGCATTTGAAGTGTTGCATCTTAGATAGCTAAGTTAGCCCACTTGTGATAGAATGTGACTGAGGCAATTTTTGTTGTTGTTGCACAGACACACACAAACGTACAAATATATAGGTATACATATATATATATATATATATATATAAATATGTATATAGGTGTATGTATGTAAATTTATTTGGCTTCAATATATGATGAATGACATTGAAGAAACCTCAAACTGCCCTCTGCACACTCCCAAATCTTATCTCTTCTTATTGTTTATTGCCTTTCTTAGGTCTGGGCGCTGTTTTTTTTTTTTTTTTGGTCCAAGCTTATTATGTGGTTGTTGTTGTTTTTTTATTCAGATTGTATGTAAGCTTGTTTATGTCTGCTGCCTTGTTCTTTGTCTTTGCCTCAAGTACCACCAATGGATGACTTAAAAAAGTGTCAAAGAGTTCCTCCGAAGAATGCAAAAAAAGAACTGAAAGAGGCAACTGCAACATCTTCAAACACCCATGAAACAAAAACAATAACAAGAAAGCAACAACAACAAGCAGCCAGTGTATAAACTAATTAGCTTGAGATCTTAAGTGCGCGAAAGCTAATAATGAAGAGATGGTGGTAGGTTGGGAAATTTCAGGGAAATTGTGAAAGCGAAAGACACTCAATTTTTTTAAAGAAAGAAAGATGAGAGAATTCCGCAATAGGAGATTTAAAAATCGTCCCAATTCCATCCAGAAATTTCGCAGTTAAATTGTCTTAGGCTAGTAATGTGTAAACCTTGTATAATGGTTTCGATATGATTAGAATAAGAACTCCACAAAAACAATGAAAATGGTTTGAGCAGATTCAAATCCGCCGGGAATCCAATGAGAAATGAGTTCAAAATATTTCACTAAAATTGTAGTAGTATAGGAATGTGTGAACCTTGTTTAATTGCTACGACATGATCAGCTGATTACCATGATCAGCTGTTTGGGTTCAAGAATTAATCATTTTCAATTCACATCGTGTCAACCGGTCTTGAAGTTTGATCAGCTGTTTAGAATTCAATCTGGATTTCAATGATTATATCTATTTAAAATTGATTGAACCCAACCAAGTTTAATCAGCAGTTTTATATCCTAGAGATTGAAGTTGACTTGAAGGTTGATCAGTTGACTTAGAAGGACAATGATTTTGACATTAAAATACAAAAGTTGTATTGATTCAGGCCGGGAATCAATACAACTTTTGTAAAGTGTGAACTAGGCTAGTATTAGGATCAGCTGTTTGAATCGATCAGATGTTTAGGTAAAACTTCTAATCTTGTTAATATCACAAAGTGTGAAGCGGTCTTGAAGTTATATATGCTGATGATTCCTAATGATTTCAAACCCGGAAATATTTCTATTTAGAGTTAATTGAACCCAAAAAAGATTTATTAGCAATTTTATGTCCTAGAGATTGAAGTAGACTTGAAGGTTGATCAGTTGACTTAGAAGGACAATGATTTTGACATTAAAATACAAAAGTTGTATTGAATCCCGGCCTGATAATTGTAAAGTGTGAACTAGGCTAGTATTAGGATCAGCTGTTTGAATCGATCAGATGTTTAGGTAAAACTACTAATCGTTTTAATAACACAAAGTGTGAACCGGTCTTGAAATTTGATGAGCTGATTTAGAAGGACAAAGTTTTTTGAAAATAAAATACAGAAGTCCTAATGATTCCAAATAAAAACATCCTGAGCTCTGTATATTAATCATATTTATATTATGTGAGTGTAAACTTTGATGACGAGAATCGTCAAGTGCGAACTAGGTTAGTAGTAGGATCAGCTGTTTAATCGATCAGCTGATCCTACTACTGATAAAATACAAAAGCCTTCATGATTACGAACCCTATAACAAAAATATCAGGAGCGCTATGAACAAATCACATTTATATCATGAAGTGTGAACTCTGATAAAGAGAATAGTATGACCAGCTGTTCAACCGATCAGCTGTTTAATTGATCAGTTGTTTAGATATAACTTTTTATCGATAATACGTAGAGACCTATATAACCTTCGCGTCAAATCTTAATAGGCAGCTACTATTTCGAAATATTCCAAAAAATTTCCTGGTTATGGACCTGAAAATATTATTATATCCTTTAAGACCCAAAATTAAACTAAATTCAGAGCGTCGCTAATATTTTGGGGACGCTTTGAATATCAAAAATAATATTCGGAAATGATTTCTAGATAAAATTCTTTATAAGATCCCGAACCCACATTTATATCATAGAGTGAGAACTCAGATGGAGATAATCGTAAAGTGTGAACTAGACTAGTGAAATCGTCAGCTGTTTATTCGATCAGCTGTTCAATCACTCAGATGTTTAGATACAATTCTTTATAATAAGAGACTGAAGAACATTTTTGCCAAATTTTAATAGTTCGAAATATTGCAAGGTGTTACATGGTAATGGGCCTGAAAACATAATTATATCCTGTAATACCCTAAATGAAACTAAACTCAGAACTCCTCTAATATTTCATATGACATCATAGAATGTGATTTGATGGTAAAGTCCAAAGTAGGTTAGTGGCAAGATCAGCTGTTTAAGCAATCAGCTGTTTAATAGATCAGCTGTTTAAGCGATCAGATGTTTAGATAAAAATTATTTTTTTAATATTATATAGAGAACTAGGGAAGGAAACTGCTAAATTTGAAGTCAGCTTCTATTTCAAATTATTCCAAGGACTTGTCTTGTCAAATGAAACTAAATTCAGGACATCGTTAATATTTTACATGGTTTAGATACCAAAAACAAATATTTCGAAATGATTTCCTAGGTGCCTTAGATTCACACATTTCAAGCATTCGCTAAAGATGTGGAGGAGCAAAGAAACCAAGCAAGGAAGCCAACTTCTCATTCAAGTTCGTAAAGAAGGAGGAAGTAAATATAACTCCTCTTTTTTTTCAAAGGGTACAGGTAAGCATGTTGGGCGCCAGCATCAAAGACTATTGTAAGGAACATGAAACCTAAAATAATACACCAAAAAGGGACTAACTTCTAACTCAAATACAAGAAGAAGAGGATAAAAATAAATTAGTATGTTCTCATAGTGATAAACGTAAACATGTTGGGCGCCAAAATCAAAAAAAGTATTTTCTGTAGCAAGAAAACTATATAAAAAATCAAAAAGTTTTAAGGTTCACAGATCTAATCCTCAGACATCCGATTTCGTATTTATAAACCGAATTTTTTATTAACCCCTCACCCTCACGTTTTATTAAAAATTCTCATGTTTTCATAGCGATAAACGTAAGCATGTTGGGCGCCAGAGTAAAAAAAGTATTTTCAGTAGCAAGAAACCTAAATTAGACAAACCAAAAGTTTTAAGGGTTTCCATATCTGATCCTCATACATCCGATTTCGTACTTATAGCCCACATTATATTTTATCACTTATCACTTCCCTTCACTTTTTTATTAAAAAAATAGTAGTGCAAAAATCTTCGTCACTTACCCGCAAATTGTGTACCAAAATGTTGCTGAAAATGACCGCGAAATTCATGTGGTGTACTGAAACCCGGCGGCAGAAACCCCCTCAAATAAGCAGCCGCTGCCAATGTGGTCATGTGATGATGATGAGCGGCCAATGGGCCACCATGATCCGCAGCATAACCGGCGGCAGCATAAAAATTTGCCGGATTAAAAACAGGCAATTGGACATGGGCAGCAGCCGCGGCGGCAGCTGCTGCAGCCGAGAGCCGAGTAACATCCGGTGATATTGAACGTGAATCACGATGACGTCCCGGAGTGGCTGTGGCCGTTGACGAGGCAGGTGAAATTGGAGCATTTGTACAATCATTGGGTGTATGGGCCGGTGGTGGGGAAGATGTTGAAAGACGATGTTGTTGTTGTGATGTTGCTGTTAGACTATGTTGTTGCTGTTGTGATGCGGTATTGCTGCTAGCTGTCGATGAATTGTGACTGGAGGGTGGCGGTGTGGTGACACTGGGTGGCAGGGCAGCAGCAGCCGGATGCTGATGCAAATGTACGGGATGTGCATAACCGGCGGCCGCCGCGGCTGCTGCGGAACCCACACCCAAACCCAAGATTTCTTGTATGGCAAATGGTGTACGCATTTTGGTGGCTTGCATTGCTGGTAGAAGGGTTTCTGGGGAGAAAATTATTTTTTTTTGTTGTCAGTTTTGCCGTCGGCAAAATTATGTTCACAGAAAAAGTTTTTTTCTTAAGGGGAACACTCTTTAACTGCACGAAATTATTACAAAACTTCGAAAATAGTTTTTAAATTTTTATAAAAAAATTCATAAATTTTTATTTTTTTTGAAATGGTTTTCTGTTCTTTAGGTGCACGAAATTAGTCCACAAATTCACTTTTATTTAATTTAAAAAATTTATTCCATTAATTTTGAAAATATTTTGAAATGTTTTCTCTGTTTTCGAAATAATGTGGTCCAGTAGATAAAATTATATTGTTGTTATTATTTAAAAAGTCTGTATATTTTTTTAAAATTATGCCATTATTTCTTAAATTTTCAAATATTTGTTTATAAATATTTTGTTGTTTGGTTGATTGTATTTATTTTTGAAATATTGAAGTTGGTTTTATATTTGTCACTTTAAAAATTTATATTAATAATTTTTATTTTTATTAATATTTTTTAATATAATTTTGTTGTTTTTTTGTTTTATTTTTATTTACAAACTTTTCTATTTTAATTTTTATTATTCTAAAATAAAAATATCTGTTCCTTAATTTTCAGTCACTTTTTTTAAATATTTTTTAATTATTATTTTTTCTTTCTGTATTTTTTTAGAATTTTTTGAAACTATTTTTTTTCCAAAATTTCAGTTCATTTATTTTTTTCGATACATTTTTATTCTGTAATATTTCATAGTCTCCTTTGTGATTTTTGTTTCTGCACTTCACAATATTTTTATTTCAACGAAAAAAATATTTTTTATGTTAAAATTTTATTTTAGTAATTTTCTTAATTTCCAGTAATTTTTTTCCATTAGAAAATTTCATAGTTTTTGATTTATTTTATTTTAAATTTTATTGTAATTATTTTTTCCTATAATTTCCAGTCAATTTTCCTTTGAAATAATTCCATAGCTTGTCTTTGGGCTTTTTTAATTGCAATTTGGTGGTGCCTACTTTTAGGCTTTGTTATTTTCTTTTTATTATTAATTCCATCAAAATGTCACTTTTCAAAATTTTTATTTAAAAAAATATTGCACATGTTTTTTATTTTTAGTTTATTTTTTTTTCAAAATTATTATTATTTTTTTTCAAAAAAATTCAATTTTTATTCGCACGTGTTTTTATTTTATTTTCTTCTCTCTAAAAAATCCCGTGATTTTGCAACACTTGATGCCGTTCTGAGCCTTCGAGCTGACAAAGGCCTGTTATGATGATATTTGGTTGTTGTTTGGTAGTGTGTTGTTCTTTTTGAACTGACTGTTCGGCGTCGTCATTGATTTAGAAATGTCGCTATGGAGAAATGTGTGACACGACACGACGACACAGAAGACATTAACCACGGAACGGCTACGACACGTTTTGTTATGCTCAAAGTACCAAAATGAACTGAATCCGTACAACTGAACAGAGCTCGCAAAAAGAGTCGTCTCATCCATCCACATTCACGTTCAACCAACCATCCATCCATTCATGCTGATGATGGTGATGAGTTGCTGCATAAATCCCCCGCATACACAAGGAAAAAACGCCATATTTACCCTTAAACACACAAATATCAACACAGCAGTCTCCTAAGAGCGAAAGAAATAGCAATATACAACCATTACTCTTTAACATGTTCAAATAATATTTCCAACCAAAGCAAACTGAGTGTGGAAACGTGTGAGAGAGAGCGAGGAGAAATTCCAACATCACCGGACACATATTATTCCAATTAGATAATCCCTAAGCATCTCACAGATAATTTTGCTTAGATAAAATTCTCATTCACATGGGATTCTTATTTGTCCCCCTTTCTGAACTTTTAAACCAAACTCCACCATCCCTTTCTCTCTCTCACATTTACACAACAAATAATTCTCACCCATTCACAATCTTATTGGAATTCCAGTTACCGGACTAAATAACAAACAGAGTGCTAAATGAAGGAGAAATCTTCATCCAGTACTCTGTGGCCGTTAGAATAATTACTCTCTCTCTTACGCTCTTGGCGCATTATTTCCTTCATAGAGCATTTGCTTTCAATGGTAACAACACAGCATGCTTAAACAAACATAACTATCCCTTTCATGCTCACATTGCTTGCCTACCATTAAATTATTGTTACAACTTTTCGTGTTAGAATGACAGAGAAAGCATTCGTTTTAATTTGATTTTGCTCTCTTCCTTTTTATGCAGCCAGTGAGTGCGTGCGTGTAAAAACATAACGTATCATTATTATTTTATTAACAACCAGCCAGCCAGCCATTCATTCAATTCATCTGTTTATCCAAAGTATTTTTTGGTCGCTTAACTGGCTTTTAAATTCTGCTGATAATTTGGAGATTTGCCGTTTGCTGTTTTTGTTGTTGCTGTAAATTTTGTGTGAAAGAGAGATCCATTTAATAAAATTTGTTGATTAATTGTAATTTGACAAATTAAATAATAAAGTAAATAAAAAATAAAATAGAAAAATGTACTAATTTGAAATTAATTTAATAAAACTGGGAGTGATTGTGAAATAAAATAAATATATACAGTGACCCTAATAACTTAAAGAATAAACTTCTAAATATTTAATAAATATCAAAATTTCACTTGATAATTTCATATAGCTCTGGGATTGAAATAAAATAAAGAAATTATATATCCCTTTAACCAAAACAAAACATAGTTTGAAATTTAAAAAATGTCTAAAAGCTTATGAGGGACGAGAGCCTGTTTTGCACAAATTTTTGAGCACAGGGTGTGAGATTTTCTTCTTGGTGTCGATAATTGGAATTTGTGAAATATTAAAATTTAATTCAATTTATGTGTTAATATTAAGAGCTTTAAAATCGTAAAAAATATTAAAATATGCTGGCGGTACAATTTCATTAAATAGAAAATATTTTGAAAATTTTTAAAATATTATCAGCCTGATTCTTTAAAATTTCTAACGAACAAATTTTAGTGACTTACGATCAAAACGCTTTTGTTTTTAAATATATTTTGATTTTTTTTTCGTATAAATGAACTATTTTTCATCATAAATAGTTTGGGTCGTAAGTCTCTCGAAATAGATAATTATGCATTTTATCGAAACAGGATGTTTAAATAGACCTTTAGATGTGCTCGATTTTTTTTTATGAAAATTCCTAATTCGAGCTTGATGTCCAGATTGTTATTGATTTAAGGGCACACCCCTCCATTCTCGGGGTCAAAAAATGTTTTGATTTTATTCGAATCTACACTAATTCAAGAATGTCCCTACAAGTGAACATCTCAAGAACTCTTGAAGATATAGCCGACTTATTGTGTCAGCATCAAGTGACGGCTAAAGGGCTTCTCAAACTTTAAACGCGTTTTTCTCTTTAGCGAATGGCGGGCACGATAACTCAAAAAATAATAACCCAATCGATACCAAATTTTTATACGTTTCTCTGTGAGTGTATAGCTATCGTATGAAATAGGATAAAGCCAATCGGTGAAGATCTTCCTTGTTCCCTTAAATTAAAATAAATTTTATAGTGTATCATCGATACGAATTAACTGTAATTTGCTAAAAACTTTGCTCATAGTTAATTTTACAAAAAAAAAATCATTTATTTGTTGTCACAACAAAATGAATTTATACAATATCGACAGCTGTTAAAAGTTGCAAAATAGGCCTACAGGTATAGACTACAAAAACAATATGTATGTATTAAGAAAAGGTTGAGGTTTATTTTTTTTGTTGACTTGAAATGTTTTCCATTCAATTTCATAACGACATTAAAATCAAGCTTATATTTCAAAATCGAATCAATATGTTTATTTTATTAAAAACCAATAATAAAATATTTGTAACAATTGGAGCTCAGAGACGAATTTAAAAACGAGCTTAAAAACAGTTTGTTATTGGCGGTTTTCCGATATTTGTCAAAACGAAATTTCGGTGCCGGTTCCTTAATAATCATGGGATCATTTTATACCGACGGAATGCTTAATTTGGCATTTCCTAGTTGTCGGATGAATTCTATGGAGTACGTTCAAGTCTTGGAAGACAAATTATTGCCATTTGGGCAAATCAGCAACAATGAAGGACAAGGCGTCAGTTCATAAAAGTCGCCATACTTATGAATGGCAAAAATCAAAAAATATTCAAAGTATGAACTGGTCCGCATATTCTTCCGACCATAATGCGATCGAGAATATATGGGAAATCTTGACTCGTGTCGAGTCTATGCGGAAAATGCCAATACCAAACTGTTTTCAACCTCAATGAAGTAATTATCGATGAATGAAGATGAAGATTTGCAAAAAAAAAATTGATAGACAGTATGATGGATAGAATTTTTGAAATTATTTAAAATAAGGGATTATTGATTAAAGTTATTTTATGTTATTTAAGTTTTTAAAAATAGATTTATCTAATTTTTTAAAAGTGCGTCTATAGTTGTACAACACCAATAAGTATTAAAGTGCAGAATCAAGCGAAACCATAAAGAGTAAATTAAGTATTTTTGTGTATACAATAACATAATGGGTCCATTTTATTTGTCAACTAACATACCAATCGACACGCAGTGTATATTTTCGTTTGAGTTCATGACAGGATATTGTACATATAAGCATCTCTTGTATGTAGAGAAGAGAGGGACACCTTTTTAATTTCAAGCCTAATACAATTTTATACCCTCCACCATAGTTTGGAGGATATATTAATTTTGTTTTTCCGTTTGTAACTCATCAAAATAATCATTTCCGACCCTATAATGTATATATCGCTCATTTCCTGCATAACTCAAAAAAAAAAAAAAAGATTTTGCAGAAAATGTGTTTTAAGTTTTCAATTTACTCACACTTTATATGGGACAGAGGAACTTCTACAGCTTCTCAATTAAGAGATATTCATATGCATTTTTTACACAAAATGAGGTCTATTATATCGAACAATCGTGCATCATTAACTCGAAAATCAGTTTTTATACCCTTCACCACACTG